TTTTATTGATTTTTTACAGAGAGGAAGGGAGAGGGATAGAGAGTTAGAAACATCGATGAGAGAGAAACATCGATCAGCTGCCTCCTGCACACCTCCTACTGGGGATGTGCCTGCAACCAAGGTACATGCCCCTGACCAGAATCGAACCTGGGACCCTTCAGTCCCCAGGCCGACACTCTATCCACTGAGCCAAACTGATCAGGACTGCTTGTAATATTTCTATTTTATGGAAGTTACTGATGTTTTCTTTGTGACCTAATATATGATGATTTTTGGTGAATGTAGTGTGGGCACTTTAGAAGAATGTGTATTCTCTAATACGAGAGTGGCAAATTTGATAAATATCCTTAACATTTACTTTATTAGTTATGCTGTTTTGATCTTCTATCTCCTTATTTTTGGTTCACCTAATATACTACTGAGAATGCTATATTAAAGTCACCTATTATTAGTGTGTTTTTATCTATATGTCCTTGCATCTCTTACAGTTTTTGTTTCATAAAGGTAGTTGCTATGCCACATTCATGTGAATATATATATTTTAATTTATTCTATCTTCATCATGAATTGTGGCTTTAAGCATTAAAAAGTGTCTTTCTTTATTTGCATGCTTTGGGACTTGAATTCTACCTTACCTTATTCCAGGATTGCCACCTCCTGCTCTTTCTGGAAACATCTGCCTGGTATAGTTTGGCCACCCTTTTATTTTTAACCTTTCAGAATCACTTTATTTTAGGTATATCTTTTGTACAGCTCCTTGAATTTTGTTTTGTGATCCTTGGTTCACATCTACTTTCATTGATTTTATTTTATTTAAAAAATTTTTAATGTTGATCCTTTGTTGTCTTGCTTTATATATTGTTTTTTTTTTAGAATATAATTTTATTGATTTCAGAGAGGAAGGGAGAGGGGGAGAGAGAGAGAAACATCAATGATGAGAGAGAATCATTGTTCGGCTGCCTCCTGCACGCCCCACACTGGAAATCGAGCCTGCAACCCAGGCATGTGCTCTGACTGGGAATTGAACTGTGACCTTCTGGTTCATAGGTCGATGCTCAACCACTGAGCCATGCCAGCCGGGCTGTATATTGGTTTTGAAATATCAGAGGCTAGTGTAATTTTTTTAAAAAAATTATAAGTTAGTTATTCTTTTTACTTAGAGGTCTGGGGAATTTTAACTTTATATTTGAAATCAAATACTTTTTACTAGGCTATGTTTCAGAGTTTATTGTTGTATTCTCTAATTTTCCCAAGTATCTGGTGAGCCCAGGTCTTTTTTTTTAAATACTCTCCTGAAGATCTGTTTTATTGATTTTTTTTTAGAGAGACAGGAAGGGAGAGAGAGAGGAACATCGATGTGAGAGGGAAACATTGATCAGTTGCCTCACATAAGCGCTCTGACCAGGATAGAATCTGAAACCTAGGAATGTGCCCTGACTGGTAACTGAACCCACAACATTTTGGTGTGCGGGAGGAAGCTCCAAGCAGCAGAGCCACCCAGCCAGGGCAATTCAGGTCCTTTTTTTATTTATTTCTGGAAAGTTTTCTTGGATTATAGTTTTAAATATTGGTTCAGTTTTATTGTTGGATTTTCTTCTCAGGGACTAGAATAATACACATATTATTCCTTCTTTACCTGTCTTCTGTTTTTCCCTGCAAAGTCATTTTCATTTTCTTGATTTTTTTCCTGACTTTCTTCAGTGTCCCTTATTAAATTTTCATTTGCGTTTATTCTCTCTTCGGCAACTTGTTATTTATTTTTCATTTTTGATATAATTTAGTCTTTTTCTCCCATTTTTTTCTCTAATTCATTTAACTTCCCCCCTGTCATTTCACTGATTTTGGTCTATTTTCTGTTCTTAGTTTTAAAATTTCTGTCTGTGGACTGAAGGGTCCCAGGTTTGATTCTGGTCAAGGGCACATGCCTAGATTGCGGACTCGATCCCCAGCTGCAGGAGGCAGCTGATCAATGATTCTTTCTCATCATTGATGTTTTCTCTCTCTCTCTCTCTCTCCCTTTCCCTTCCTCTCTGAAATCAATAAAAATACGTTTTAAAAAAATTCTGATTCAAGGTGAGATGCTTTAACAGACTTAGAGTTTTCTTCTGCTCTCTGGTTTTGGGGGGGAGAATTTCCCTCAGTTCAGAAACTCTTTCTACTTTCTTGTAAACATATGGGGATATCAGACTTTAAAATTTTTGCAAATCTCTTAAGTATGAAATGGTATTTATTGTTTTAATTTTATTTTCCTGATTAGGTAGGGTTATATATATTTTTCTATGTTTATTGGACATTTATGTTTCCTCTTTGTTGAAAACCCTAAGGATATGGCTGTCATCTACTGAGGTGAGACAGACTGTAGGAAGAGCAGATTTTGGAGGGAGGTTAGGAGTTTGTTCTTGGACGTGTTTACAGCATCCAATAGGCTGTTGGACATGTGAGAATGCAGCACAGAGGATAGGGGGTTGGTTTATAGACAGCATTTTTGAAGCCATGAGAGTGTAGACTGAGGAGAAAGTGTAGACAATGAGAAGTCCATATACTGAGATCAGTATTTAGAGGAAGACTGGGTTCCCTATTTAGGGGTCAGAGTGGTGACAGGGAAGATGAGGAGAAGCCAGCAAAGGACACAGAAGAAATCTTTACAGGTAGGAGGAAAACCAGGAAAGTGTAATATTCTGGAATCCAAGTGAGGAAATGTTTCTGAGAGGAAGGTGTGTCTAGGAGGAGGAGGAGCCATAACCATTGGATTTAGCAGCATGGATTTCATTACTGATCTTTATGAGAAGTTTGCTGCAGTGGTGGAGTGGAAAGCCAGATTGGTGAGGGGCCAAGCAAGAATGGGAAGGCAATTCCATTTTAATTTTTGTGTGGAAACTCCTTGCTGTTCTCTGTAGTGGCTGTGTCAATTTACATTCCCACCAACAGCGCATGAGGGTTCCCTTTTCTTTACATCTCACCAACACTTTGTTGATTTATTGATGACAGCCATTCTGATAGGCCTGAGGTGATATCTCATTGTGGTTGTCATTTGCATTTCTCTGATGATTACTGAGCTTGAGCATCTTTTCATATATCTATTGGCCAGCCAGCATGGCTCAATGGTTGAGCATTGACCTATGAATCAGGAGGTCATGGTTTGATTTCCTGTCAGGGCATATGCCCAGGTTGTGGGCTCGATCCCCAGTGTGGGATGTGCAGGAGGTAGCTGATCAATGATTCTCTCTCATCATTAATGTTTCTCTCTCCCTTTCTCTCTGAAATCAATATATATATATACACATATATATACATACATACACACACACACACACACAGATAGCAACAAATGTTGGTGGGCATGTGGAACTATTGGAACTCTCATACATTGCTGGTAGGAATGTAAAATGATGGAACTGGAACTGCTTGGAAAATTTGTAAGTCTCTCAAAAAGTAAAACAGAATTATATGACCTATCAATTCACTCCTAGGTATGTGTGTGTGTGTGTGTGTGTGTGTGTGTGTGTGTGTGTGTGTATACTAGAAAAATAAAAACATGTTCACGCAAAAACTTGTACACAAATGTTTATAGCAGTATTATGCATAATAACCAAAACATAGAAACTCAAATGTCTGTTGAGAGATGGATTAATAAACATAATGTGGTATACCCATAAAATGGAATATTACTTGGCCATAAAAAATGAAGTACTTATACATGGTAAAACAGGAATCACTTTTGAAAATGTTATGCTAAGGGAAAGAAGCCAGTTACGAAAGACCACATATTGTATGATTCTGTTTAAATGAAAGGCCTAGGATAGGCAAATCCAGAGAAACAGGAAGTAGTAGATTTGTGGCTGTCAGGCAGGGGCTTATCGAAGGAGAGGGGGAATGGAGAGAGACTGCTTGCTAATAGGTTTCTTTTAGAGATGAAAATGTTCTAAAGTTAGACTGTGGTGATGGTTGTACCTTCCTGTGACTATACTAAAAAACGTTGAATTGTAAACCTATAATGGGTGAATTGTATGGTATGTGAATTATATCTCAACGAACCTGTTTTTCAAAATAATTAAATGGAAAATAGTATTACCTCCCAGAAAATAATATACATTTAAAAATCATTGCCAAGGCTATTTGGTGTGCCCCCCCCACAACCTTTGCATTTATTTTTATTCAATTTAATAGGTATGAACTGATATCCAAAGCTTCTTTAGTTAAATTATAAGTTCCCTTGGTAGAATGTAAAGGTCAGGATGGCAGAAATTTTTGCCTATTTCTCTTCACTGCTGTATCTCCAAAACAGTGCTTGGCAAATAATAGGTATTCAGTAACATTTGTTGAATGAATGCATTTTGATATTAGGAGTTAGTAAGTAAACATTTTCCCCTTTAGTATCTTATTTCATAGTGCATCTGGACTAATTGTTCTTTCTAGCCTCAAATTCGTTTTGGAATGAAGCAGTGTAATAACTGAACGAACTGAACTGAATGTACTTCTTCGAGTGATCTGATTCAAGTCCTTTGACCTTATATGCTTTTACTTTTCTGAATTTCATTATAACAATAGTTTGCAAATGTTTGATTGTGAAGACTCCTTTTTAAAACCAATGTCAACATAATAATAATTGTACTCTCTGTGGAAAGAACTACAGAGTGGCAAGAAGCCATTTATATTTTACAGTCACCACAGTCTCTTCAGAATTTTGTAAAATAGAGGTTATAATATATGAAACATAAATTTCATAATATGTGCATGGTGGATGTATGTATTATGTATGGACCATGGCAATAATTTTGAAAGCCACCAGAGGTTTGGGGACAGTAAGTTGAGAACTACTTAATTATAGTATCAAAACTGAGGAGCATATTAAAATGTAAATAATAAGTAGTATAGAAGATTATACCCTAATCACGTATTTTAAAAATTCAGTCCCTAAAGCTATCAGTTTCTTTTAAATATGTATATCCCTTGCCCAAAGATATGTTAATTTATTGTTTTTTTTTTAGAGAGAGGAAGGGAGATGGAAAGAGAGAAACATAGAAATGTTGCCTCTCATACGTGCCCTCACCAGGATTGAACCCACAACCTAGGTATGTGCCCTGACCAGGAATTGAACCAATAACCCTTTGGTGTACGGGACGCTGCTCCAATCAGCTGAGCCACATGGCCAGGGCAAGACTGAAGTATATTTTTAAAAATCAAGTTTGTGTCTTTTAAGATTTACTTATTTTACATATTTTAGCAAAAATTCAGAAGCAAACTAAATGTTAATCATGCTTAATTAAGTTTTGATATATTTATCTGGTAGATGTTAGGTAGCAATTGAGTATTATAATTAAAAAAATATATTTCTTTATTAATTTCAGAGAGGAAGGTAGAGGGGGAGAGAGATAGAAACAGATTCGGCTGCCACCTGCACGCCCCCTACTGGAGATCAAGCCCGAAACCCAAGCATGTGCCCTTGGCTGGAATCGAACCTGGGACCCTTCAGTCCACAGTCCAATGCTCTATCCACTGAGCAAAACCAGCTAGGGCTTGATTATTATAATTGGACATTGTAATTCTTATTTGACAATTTAAAAAGCAAGACATACCAGCAACTATTCTTAGATATTTTAACTGTGATTATATGAAGTCTTTATGCATTGGGGAAAGACAGGAGGGTAGTAGTGGTTGTGCCCAGAGAGAGGAATTCTGGGTAATTTTTTCCTCTTTTTGGAACACTTACTTGGCAGTTGCTGTGTGCCAGGCACTATTCTAAGCTCTTTTCATGAATCAACTCAGGGATCATCAAACTATACACATTTGGTATTTGGGGCCTCTTTGTGTGTATGGGGGGGGGCGGAGGGCTTGAGTTAAGAATTATATATATATATATATTAATCCTCACCCGAGCATATTTTTTCAATGATTTTAGAGAGAGTGGAAGGGAGGGGAGAGACAATGAGAGAGAAACATTGATGTGAGATAGACACATCAATTGTTTGCCTCCTGCACGCCCCCCTCCCCCACAACTAGGGGGTGGGGATCGAGCCTGCAGCAGAGATATGTGCCCTTGACTGGAATCAAACCCAGGACCCTTCAGTCCGAGGGCCGATGCTTTATCCACTAAGCCAAACCGGCTAGGACAGTTTTTATACTTTTAAAGGATTTAAAATAGAAGAATAAGATGCATGGAGACTGTATATGGCCTGCAAAGCCTACAATAGTTACTATCTGGCCCTTTGCTGAAAATATTTGCTCACTCCTGATTTAATTCATTTTATCCTCACAACATTTTGATAAGGTGGGTCCTGTTATTATCATCCTCATTTTACAGATGAGAAAACTGAGGCAGAGAGGGCTTAAATACTTTTTTGTTGTTGTTGTTGTTGGTAACATTCACTGTTTTTAGAGCAGATTGCAGGCTCTTTCTACAAACTTGCTAATATTGTGTTTCTTTGCAGTGTAAAAAGTGGATAGTGGCTCACATGTCAAAGGATGGGACGGTCACGCTCTAGATCCCCCAGGTGGAAACATAGGTGAGCAGTTACAGTTTAGCAGGGCAAGCTTGGATTTGAGATGTACTTGGACTTCCAGATTCACCAGTATGATTAAGAACCTATGTTAATAAGTTCTTGGGACCTGGTTATTCACAGTAGGTGCTTTACAGTGACAGAGATTGTATTTCTCAGAGCTGACAGCTTTCTTTAATTATGGTTGGCAGCTAGAATTCATCCATAATAAAAAGAAATGCAATGACCACAGTAAGGGAGAGTGAGAAACATCTTTGAGAGTGGTTTAGAACTTTACAGTTGTGTATTTTATTTTATTTTTTTTCATAATCAGTATGTTTGAAGACATTGGGAGTTAGAAAATTGGGAGTTACCTCTTTTTTCTTCATGGCAGAATAATAGAATTTTGAATAATTCAATAGTAGTTCACTTTCCTCTTCCCTGATAGGTACTGTCAAACGTATATGTAATTAGATTGCAACAGTTCAACTAGTATTTAGTGTATACCTGCTACAGGCAATTTCTGGGGCTACAAAGGCAAATACAACACCTCACAGCCCCTCAGCAAGCACACAGCAAGCACATGGGCTGGTTGGGAAGATTGACGCCATAGCCAGCTATGAGACTGTGGGAAAAGTGTGGTGCTGCTGACTGAGACAGAGTATTCTGGATCCACAGGGAAGGAATAATTCTGCTTTGGTGGAAGGGAAAGGGGGATACAAGAAAGTCTTCAAAGAAGAGATGAGATTTTAGTCACTTAAAGATGAGTAGAATTTCTAAAGGCAGAAAGAGAGAAGAAAAGTATTCCAGTTAAGGGGGACAACAGGAGCAAAGGCACAGAGCTATGAAAGTGACTGGTACACTCTAGGACTCATAAAAAAGGCCATGATTATATACACAAAAGGCAGACCAAGGTTTTTCATAGTAATGCGACTTGGCCATTGTGCTTGCCTCATTGTGGTTCTACAGTGACTAATCAATCATTTCTTCAACAATTTTAATTTCAACTTCACAAGACTAAATTGTAGTGGGGAGGACCTTCAAAAATGGGGGATGTAAAGCGAATGATTTTAACTTGGAGGGCATCACAGAGGTCATTTTGTGTCGCCCTTTTGTGGTAGGCACTGGTGAGGGGCCGCAGAAGAGCCTGGCAAACTTAGTGCCCGATTTCTGGATTCCTTCTCAGGACTCTGAAAAACCGTAAGAAGTTCAATATTTCCCCCCACTTGCAAGCTGGCACATCAGCCTGTCACAAGGCCCTCCTGGAGTAGAGGCCAAGGCCTTTACTACTAAGAGTACAGCAGGCAGCCTGAGCTTCATGCTCCTGTGTTCCCCTCACCCCCAGCCTCCTGAGGTTGGGCGCTGTAGAACAAAGCAGTGGGGTGATGACATAGCCCACATAGCCGAGGAACCTAAGTCCCATGAGGGGCTTTGGCCTGGGAGGAGACATTATCTTATTATCCTGGATAGCAAACAAATCAACCCTCTGCCCCACAGGGAGGCCCTGGCTCCATCTTCCCAGGCTGTTTGTCTTGGAATGAAAGCTGTCAGTGCCTCTGCTCACAAGGTGTGCAGAACGGGAGAGACCCATGGAAAATTGCCTCCCAACAGACTCTTTGGGTCCCTTTTTTTTTCCCTTTGGGAGAACTGAAAATGTTAGCAGCTATTCCAGCAGTCTCCTTTGGAAGAAAGGGGCTCTATACAGTAAAACCCTGAAGTGAAAAAAAAATCAAAGTGTATTCAATGGGAAGCATGGCTTTAAAGTAAGAGATGGACTGTTTTGTCCCAATTCAAGATCTCAGCCTCTGGCTGCCAGCTTTTCTCCCTAGCGGTGGAAGAAAGGAAATCTTCCAGGAAGTCCTCAGAAGCTCCAGTTGCTTCTTCCTGTGCTGATGAGTGCAGCCAGCTGGATGACAGAGCTTGTGCTTCAGCTAAATAACACACCTGCCAGTCCATGTAGCTTGGTGATTTTCGAGGGAGATACTGCTGAGTCCAGCATATAAATCCCAGTATGTGTATGAGAAAACTAAATCTGTCTGCTTCCGTGTAGGGAGTACACAGACAGGTTACCAAATGGAAAGAGTTTTATTCATGGTTTTTTCAACTCTGGGGCAGCATCTGAAGATGGAGTGATGACAAAAACTGCAAGGGTAGCAGCCTCATTGGTTAGAAGATATTAAACCCTCAGGGAGGAGATGGGGAGTTTGCACAGGTCAGATGGGGAGTTTGCACAGGTCAGAAATATCCCCAGGTGCAACATTGAACTTCATTGTCTTCCAGATAGTGGTGCTCCCCTCTCTCATTCTGAAGTCTAGATGACTTGGACTGACTGGTTTCTCTGGACATGGAAGTCTTCCTCTTCAGTGGGAATGAAAGGCTCGATGTTGGCAATGCTAGGTGTTAGAGATGGGAGTTACAGAAAGGATGTGCTGCTGTCCCTAGCCGTTTGAGTCCCAAGCAGCGCGATCGCGCTGCTGAGATTTTATGTCGAGAAAACATACAATTCGTTTGAGTCCCAGGGGGTATTGAAAAAACACTGTCGAAGAATCCCAAACAGCGCAACCACGCTTTCTCTAAATGAGTACGAAAAGACCCAAATAAGCGTGATAGCGCTTGTTTTATTTTATGTCGAGAAATACCAAGCAGCGCAATGGCGCTGCTTGGGACTTAAACGGTTAAGGAGCATTATAGCAGCATAAAAGCATACATTCACCAAAGTTACAAGCTGTGTTTCAACAACACGTCTTTTATGTGTAAGGGAATAGGTCTGGGAGAAAAAAACAACTTACCTATGTCAGTAGTATTTATGGAGGAACCGAGCATGAGATTCAAGTCTTAAGACCCTCTTCTTCCCCCACCTCCACATACCATTTAAGTATGTATTTTTTGCTCCTTAATATAGGCTTAGTAAAGAGGATAGACAATTGGAGAAACTGTGGGGTCAGGTTAGGGTCTGAGTTTGAGTTTATGTGGCATCAAACTCTTAGAATCTAATTTAATTTCAGAGGCTGTGTTTGCCAGATTATCCTACATATTTATTTGTATGAATCCAGCCCGCCTCCTGCCTTTTTCTTTTTCTTTTTTAATCTTCACCCAAGGATATGTTTTTATTGATTTGAGAGAGAGAGGAAAGGAGAGAGAAACTGATGTGAGAGAGAAACATCAATCGGTTGCCTCCCATACTTGCCCTGACAGTGGATTGAGCCTGCAACTTGGCTTTGTGCCCTGACTGGAAGTCGAACCCACAGCCTTTTGATGTACAGGATGCCCCACCTGACTGAGCCACCCAGCCAGGGCATATTTATGCCTTTTTCTTATCTACCCATTGAACCTGATGTAAGTTTTGCTGACCAGTCCTTTTGACAGACCTTTGATGTCAGCAATCTTCCAAAAATGGAACCTGCTGTGTAGCTAAGCTGATCCTCTTCCAGCAGGAGGGTGTGCTCAGCCCATTTTAATATGCACGTGGGATACATTAGTTCAGATGGAAAGAGTGTGCTTGTTGAATTGGGGCAAGCATAATCTGACCCCCACATGGACAATTTAAAATGCAGATAGAGCAAATTCATGAATTTAATTTGAGTTGAAGAAACAGTGGAAAACAAACTTGGGCAAGTCATGTTAAGACAAACTTAATTTATTGTCTTTAAATGAACTAAACTTTTTTGTGTTTACATAGGTCTTTATCACCAATACCTAGAAAGTCTGAAAACTACAAGCAAAGATGTTCTCATGAGCATTATTGCTTCGAATATAGGAAGGATCTGAAAAGATCCACTTGTAGAATGAACGATAAGAAACATGGACAGAGTAAACCAAGGATTTCTTCTCATGAAAGTGCACATTACCGATGGTATGAACATAGATCACCTTCTCCAGACAGAAGAAGCTCTTTAGACGATTTTTATTCTTATCAGCTTTACCAAGAATATTCACCACGAAGAAGGGACAGTAGCAGGAGATCTCAGCATATGTCCAGATACTCAGAAGATGTACCCTATGAAGAGTATTGCTGGGATTATCCTGAGGAAATGCAAGGGAGGTATTCTCCTGATGACTACAGAGTTAGAAGAAGTGGAAAAGGAGGGCAATCACCTCAGAGGTCAATAGAAGATTCTTTTAGATTTGAAGAAAAGTGGCACGAAGATGACTTGAGTTACCAGATGATGCAAGATGAAAAATATTCTCAGTCATTTAGAAGAGGCTCTGAAGATTTTGAGGAAAGGAGCTCTTTTCAGACAAGGTATAGGATAAATGAAAACTGGGTAATTTGGTATAAAGTCTCAAGTAAAAAGGTGTGTTTATAGTTGAAGATACTTCCTTGAAAAGCTTTTGTCTGAAAGGATCAAAAGCATTGCAATGTAGATGTCTACTGGTAGTAGTGATTTCTTTTTAGAGTAAATCATGTGGATAACTAGAATATTTAAAAATATAATGGTATTTCCTGTCTAACTACCTTGAGCCTCTGTGAGTTGGCTTGAAGGATTAGAGCAGTGGTTCTCAACCTTCTGGCCCTTTAAATATAGTTCCTCATGTTGTGACCCAACCATAAAATTATTTTCGTTGCTACTTCATAACTGTAATGTTGCTACTGTTATGAATCATAATGTAAATATCTGATATGCAGGATGGTCTTAGGCGACCCTTGTGAAAGGGTCGTTTGACCGCCAAAGGGGCCGCGACCCACAGGTTGAGAACTGCTGGATTAGAGGGTAACTTTGTCACTGCATTCTCCATTTAAAGCCATGCTACCCAATGCTCCACACATAGAAGTTCTGACTTTCTTCTGTAGTGCGAGTATAAACTGCTTTATGTCATCACAGGTATCCTGAGGATCGCGATTACAGAAAATACAGACACACATCAAAAAGATCTGCAGGCAAGAAGAAGCATGAAAACAGAGACTCTTCTAGAAACTCACATCGGAAATCTAGGCATTATCTTCCACATTACCAAGAAAAGGAAGATCAGTGGAACCTTCGACACCGATCTCATCGACATGCTCGGAGGAACTCCCCAGAGACCAGTTCAGCAACCAAGGTATCCAGGGACTATCACCACAAACATCCTCAGACCTCAGATGAGGACCAGGACTTTTCTGATGGAAGGACTCAGAAATACTATAAGGAGGAAGATAGAAAATACATTTCTCAAATAGATCTTGCAGAAAGAAAGTCCAGATATTTTAATACTAGAAGAGACAGAGAGACCGAAGATGGGCAAGTCAAAGAAGCTTCTAAACCATCTAAGAAAGACTGTTCTCCCTCTACTGATTCAGATAAAAACAATGTTATTTCGAGTCCCTATAATGGCAAACGAAAGAAGAAAAAAAACAAAGAAGGGGATGGCAGAAGAGAGGGCAACTCTTCCAGTTACCAGTTTGGTAAAAGTGAATATTCACCTGCTAGTCTTAGGAAGAAATCGAAATCACTTATAGTTAAAATAGATGTGAAGGACACAGTAAATATACCCAGGTATTATCTTTGTTTTTTTCTTAATGATATTTAATAACTATTTTCGCCACCTTTATTAGAAGCTTTGAAAATGAAATTAATAGTGTGTTTAGAGTGCATTAAGGGGGAGAGATTGCCTAGATTTTTTTTTAAAAAGCCCTTTAATGAGGATGAATCTCATGATTAGTAATATGAGCTGATATGTTTGCTTGTTTCCACATTGTATCTTCAGATGCTTTTGGGAGGCAGAGCATTCTATGGAGTTGTTCTTCACTAATTTGCATGTTATTATGCTGCCAGATTCTCTGTATTCAAGGATAGGCTGGGTGGAGTTCAAGGAGACCCATTCCTTGCTCAGTTTCTCAGAGCCTATTTTCCCTGTTGCCTGACATTCAGAGAATTTTTTACCTGGAAGGACCTTAGTAGGCCCTGATTTTATAGAGCGGGAGAGTGAGGCCCTGAGACATGAAGCAACTTGTTTAAGTCAGAGTGCCTGAGTCTCAAATCTGTGTGATCCCTTGTGACTCAAAGAAGCTGGTGACTTAACGTGGTTATTGATGCCATCTCAAAAAGACTGGGGCTCACTCAACCTATTAGATTCTCCTAGGTATAGGCAATTAGGCTAGGGTCTACAAAGAGGCCTACTTATAAGATATTTGGTTTAGCTCTAATGATTTTTAAAAAATAGACTACTGTTGTAATAAGTTATTTTCTCCTAAAGTGGTTTGCATGCTTTCTTGCATTATGAATATTACTTCCCTTTATGAATTCTGAGAATAAGGCACTGCATTTGGCTATTTCAGGTAAGTCTGTTCATTACTTATATACACCACCACTATGTGGATAAAAGTGATGGACCATGTTGATTTGGTACATTTATGTTCACCGTTGACTCATATATCTGTTTTTGAATAAAAAATAAGTGATGGGCCCAGCCAGTGTGGCTCAGTGGTTGGGCATCACCTGTGGGCCAGGAGGTCACGGTTTGATTCCTGGTAGGTTCATTTCTGGTCAAGGTACGAGCCGGGGTTATGGGCTCGGTCCCCAGTGGGGGGTATGCAGGAGGCAGCCGATCAATGATTCTCTCTCATCATGAGAGAGAGAGGACGCAGGCTGGGCTGAGGGACTCCCCCTCCCAGTGCATGAATATTGTCCACTGAGCCTCTATTAATAATTTCTAGCTCTCTCTCCCTCTCCCTTCCTCTCTGAAACCAATAAAAACCAAACAAACGAGTGATGGACCACATTGATTTGGTACATTTTAGGTTCACAGTTGACATATCCATTTGAATAAAAAACAAGAGAAAACAGGGAGTTAGGTAAATCCAAAGTCCCCCCACCCCCACTTTTTTTTTTTTTACAAAAACTATTTTGTTCTTTTTCTTAAAGTTAGGTATGGCAGTCCCTCTCCCTCATTTGTTTTTGCACTTGCAAAATATACATATGTATATTTATATGTGCATAGAAAACATTTACAAGTACAATTATAGTACAGAAAGTTAGACACATAGAGGTGGGAAAATAACTCATAATCCTACTACCCTAGGACAATTTTATTAATATTTTAGCACAGCTCCTCTTGTTATTTTTCTATGTATATTTTACGTGGTTGTCATAATAATCCTCCTATATAATAAAGCCTTAATATGCAAATTGACCCAATGCCTGAACAACCGGTCACTATGATGCGCACTAACCATCAGGGGGCAGGCGCTCAGCGAAGGAGCTGCCCCCTGGTGGTCAGTGCGCTCCCACAGGGGGAGCTACGCTCAGCCAGAAGCCGGACTCACGGCTGGCGAGTGCATTGGGGGTGGCAGGAGCCTCTCCTGCCTCCGCGGCAGTGCTAAGGACCCCTCTGGGGTCCCGGACTGTGAGAGGACGCAGGCTGGGCTGAGGGACTCCCCTCCACCAGTGCATGAATATCGTGCACTGAGCCTCTATTAATAATTTTGTATCCTATTTCATATAATATGTCTTAAATCATTGTGTGCTATTATATTTCCTACTATTCTTCATTTTAAGAGCACAAAGGCTGCTATAAGCATCAAATTTAGGGATGTTAAGCTCTTTTTCTTTCCAACATTATATCATGAAAATGTTCAAATATACAGAAAAGTTGAAAGAATTATACATTGAACACCTATATACCCACCACCTAGAATCTACAATTGAGATTTTACTCTACTTTTATAATCACATATCTGTCCATCTGTTGTTCCATCTTATTTTTGATGCATTTCAAAGTGAATTGCAAATATCAGTACACTCCCTTTTTGTTTATAGTTTTTTTCTTTTGAGGTAAAATTACATATAATTAAAACACAAAAAGTCTTGAATTCTTTTATAAAAGTAACGATACCCCCACATTTAATAATGAAGTGTTTTATACTTAAAAGGGAATAAATTGGCTGTAGCACTTTTTGTTTTTGTTTTTAATTCTCACCTGAAGAGTGAGGATATTTTTCCCATTGAGTTTTTAGAGTGGAAGGGAGGGGGGAATGGGGAAGAGAGAAACATCAATGTGTCTCATCTATTGGTTGCCTCCCACATGTGACCCAACCTGGGGCAGGGATCGAACCTGCAACCCAGGTACCGTGCCCTTGACTGGAATTGAACCCAAGACCCTCTGGTGCGACACTCTAACCAATGAGCCATGCTGGCTCAGACTGGCTATAACACTTTTAAAGAGTGCTAGAAATAGCAAGTTTGAAGGGTTTTATTTTAAAGTTACTGAACACTGTTAATTTTATAATATGATATTGAGAAATTGTAGCTTGATCTTCATCATGTACCACAAAAGTGAGCTTCCTAAAATTGAGGCTGCTATATCTTTTGTGTGAATTTATAAACTATAATTTTATGAAATTTCATGGCCTATCAGTGGGGCCTGTCAGCATGTTTGAATTACCTGACAAGGACCTGAAAGATAGCTTGTATAATAAAAACCTTCCACTGCAAATCCTTTCTATTAAAAAAAGCTGAAGAATGAATAACTTAATAACTATATGCATCTTTTCAGTCTGATAAAGCATCATGCTCAATAAACTCCTTTTTATTATAATTATTTATTGACTAATGAGTTGTGGAAGAGTTTTGTGGGGTTGAGTTGAATTATATATGGACTAATGAAGTATCCATAAAACAAAAGTAGTTAATGCAAACCTCAGTAGAGTCATGTTCTCAACTATTATTATACATTAGATTTTCCTCTGCTTGCAAAGATTAAAATACTCCTAGAGTGGAGAGAGGTGTATGTTGGTTAAGATCTAGAGAGTTTATCCACTTTTTTTTGAAAGACTAAGATGATTCATTTTGTGATTTGTTTTCATAGCTTTGGTCAAGTATTGACACATGTAGTTAAAAACATGTGGCTATCACCTAGTGATTTTTCTAGATTCCAGTTTCTAGATTCCAGTAGAACAGCAGTAGAGATAGATACTTATTTGAATGTTCACTGCATAGTTAATAATCTGTTAACAAAGAACATGTTGTAGTGACCCTCTGTCAGAAACTGCATTATCAGAGGTAGAAGATACATATGTCTCATAATTACATGTTTCAGAATGTAAGTTAGGGAGTCACAATATGAAAATTTTGTGGTTGAGGAAAAAGCCTAGCTCATTATGAACTAGGCTATTATGAACCCCAAAAAACCTGTTGTATACATCTGGAAGTCTTGGGGCAGATAGAGTTGTGGTTTAATGTTGGGCTGAGTGGTGAGAGAGTGAGAGCCTCAACCTCAGTCAGGGTAGGAAGGAAGTGGAGGGAGGAGCAGGGGGGATGCCTGTCTGGAGAAGAATAAGCTGGTGCAGATGGACCCGAGGCTCCTCTGACCTCCCCGGCTGCTGCTGTTAGGTATCTAGGATGGGAAGGTTGGCTAGCAAAGTTGATGTTGGACTGAGCATATCAGCCACAATTTAATCCTTTTATTTCTCACTGAAGAAATACAAAGAGGACCTCCCTACCCCATCTGATCTTTTCCCAGTCTGAAAGGGGATGAGGTGGCTAATGGGCCCCAGAAGACATTGGAGCCCTGATGATTTGAGAAAAGGGGTTCTGTGTAGGTGGGGGAACAGTGTAAAAAACCATAGCAAGGACTGAAGGAAGGTGACCTAATCACACAAGTTTACCTATGATAGGCACTGTTCAGCTGGAGGCAGAAGAAGCTGTGGGTGGAGATATTTTTGTGATATATAAGCCTGCTACCTCACTGTTATGTAGCACCAAAAAGTAAGGCTTTTCCTCCCTAAAATATTTCATATATAATCAAAAATTAATGGAGAGACGATTCCCTTTTATTCCTATCACCCTAGCTTTTCCTAGTGGTTCTCAACGGGTCTAATAGAAAGAGGTGAACATTCTGTTTGGGGTTGGGATACATAGGTTTTTGTCTCCTGGTGGGTCACTAAGCATTTCTGGCCATGCCTTTTTGGGCCCAAATTAACCTGCATTTCCTCCTGGCTATATAAGTCTGCTCCAATTGGCTGATAACTATTGAAGTTGGGTTGACAGGCTCATCATAGCATTCTCTGAACTTTTGTGTATATTTGAAATTCTATAGTATAAAAAAATTAAATTTTAAATTGCTCTAAATTAAGTAAAAATTTTAAAATAAAAAGTAAGCCAAAAAGTTAAAAAAACAAAATTAAATTGGAAGTCTGTTATCTTTTTAGCTGACTCTCATTTGAAATGATCCAAATCATTTTCCATTTATCATTTATTCATTCAGCAGGTATCTTTTCAGGATCTACCCTGTGTGAGACAGCCTGTTAGGGTACCCTGGGACTAGATGGGCATAAGATAGACTTCTTCTTCTCTGGTCTTGCAGACAATAGGACGATGTTGGTAATACCATGGTATAGTGAGTGATGTATGAAGTGGTGTGCAACTCCAGTGATCTCAAGCTGGGAGACGTAGGGAAGACTTCTTTCAGGAGTTGACATGGAGCTAGGCTTTGAAGATTATGGTGTGGTTTAGACACTTGATGAAAAGATGAAAGACATTTTATATTTATAGATTAAGAAAGGCAGAAACCACACACCGGGACTTTAGAGGTACAGGAGGCTGCGAAGGCAGGACTGCCACACAGCCAACCTGATTTGACAGGATTAGCTAATAGGAGAGGACAGCTGGCTCAGTTCTGCTGCCAGGGGAATGCCTCCTATGAGGAGGCTTGAAAGGACATTGGGGTTGGCAAGGCCAGTTAGGGGACTTCTGTGAAACAAATAATGAGATGCACAATTAAGGGAGTAGTAGTCTCCCTAACTCTTTTTCCTCAACCCCCAAAATTCTAAATGTGTTCTTTAGGAGACAGGAGCGATTTAATAATTGGGAAAGTGCTTTATGAACTGTTAGATGCTGTACAAAATGTTAATTATATTTGGAAGAAAACTAAGAAAAGAAAACCTTTATGTGTTTTATGGATTTTGTTACCTATTATAAGCTTCCTAAAGGCAGGGTTGCTTTTTGTTTGTTTGTTTGTTTATATTTTTATTGACTTCAGAGAGGAAGGGAGAGGGGGAGAGAGATAGAAACATCAATGATGAGAGAGAATCATCGATCGGTTGCCTCCTGCACACCCCCTACTGGGGATCGAGCCTGCAACCCAGGCCTGTGCTCTGACTGGGAATCGAACCTGGGACCCTGTAATCCACAGGCCAGTGCTCTATCCACTGAGCAAAACGGGCCAGGGCAGGATTTTTTTTTTTTACTGTTGTTTTGCCATATCTAAATTTTTAAAATTTGCGAACCTGGATATGTGCCCTGACTGAGAATCAAACCCGCAACCTTTCAGTGCACGGGACAGTGCTCCAACCAACTAAGCCACACCGGCTAGGACTATATTTTAATTTTTTAACTATCTGAAATTCATCTCAGTGAATATTTGGTCTTTTAAGCTTAGCTACTTGTGTTAGGGATATTTCCTGAAATTGTTAAATTGCTCATCAGTAATGTCACAGGAAATAGTAAAAAGGAAAATGTGAACAAAGAGGTGATTAAATTTATAAATGTAAATACCTAGAACATTTTTTATTCTCAAGTCTCAAAAAGGTTTTTAATATAGCAAAAGCATAGTTTTTAAAACACTAAAATTTTAGGTTATATTATTTTCATGAATATTTTCTAGAAAAATAATTATTTTAACATTTTTTTAATTAACAATCTTGCAGTGGAGTAACCCTAGGATACATTTTCTAACTGTTAGCAAGTTTAAACACTAATATTTGAGGAATTAAATACAGCTTCACTGTATACCACATTATTCCTATGGGTTGAGAATTGGGCATGGAGTAGGTATAAGAGTTATGCCAGTAATAATAAATTACATGTAAATTTTAATAATTACTGAAAGGGTTTATCAACTTGTTTCCTCTTGGGAGAAACTGAGGCTATAATAAAAACGTATCAATTGATTTCCTCTTATGGATGTATTTATATAGTTGTATTTAAATGTCTTATTTTCCTTCTATAAAATGTTTTTAAAAGCTACATTATTCTTTGATATGGCAGGCTTTTTGTACCATAAAGCCCCTTTAAACAGAGAGCATTTATAGTTTTTGTTAGTGAAGGTTGTTACAGGGCCATTCTAGCTTCTCGCTTTTATCACTAAATGCATTTTAGCTAGTTATCAGATACACAGTGGGAAGCTAGTAGCAAATTAGAAGAGAAGGGAAATGGGCCTTCTCATGAACATCTTTCTAATGAATCAAGGAATCCACAGCAGTGGCATCAGCCTGCTACATAATCACTTCTCCATGTTCCTGCCTTGGTAGGGAGTTGTCTCAACAGCACTGATTCGAGAGCAGAGAGCACGGAAAGTCAGATGGAAGCCTTTCCTCTGATAAGTTAAAAATAGGCACTTAAAACCATCTTGTTAGAGGAGTGAAATTTTTAAAAAAATGTTTATATTAATTTCAGAGAGGAAGGGAGAGGGAGAGAGGGACAGAAACATCAATGATGAGAGAGAATCATTGATCGGCTGCCTCCTGTGTGCCCTGACTGGGAATTGAACCGTGACCTCCTGGTTCATAGTTAGATGCTCAACTACTGAGCCACTCCAGCTGGACAGGAATGAAAATTTTTAATTAACGAATATGGCCCTGGCTGGGTGTTTCAGTTGATTGGATCATTGTCCCTTGCAACAAAAGGTTTTGGATTCGATTCCCGGTCAGGGCACATACCCAGGTTGCGGGTCCAATCCCCATTCAGGGTGCATATGGGAGCAACCAATTGATGTTTCTCTCTAAGAAGAATATCTGTAAGCCCTCCATAACCCTGAAGCAGTTATGGATATATGTCTTTTATGTGACTTAAATAAGTAAATCTGTGCACATGTACATTTGATTATATGAAGTATCATTTTCTCCAGTGGTGCTGCTGTATTTATTTGATTGATTGATTGGTTGGATTAGTGGAGTAAGGAAAGCTTTATTGATGGAGACAGTGCCAACCAAGAAGATGGGATCTATGCTGCTGTTATGTCAAACACTAGAGGCCCGATGCACAAAATTCGTGCAAGAGTAGTCCTTCCTTCCCCCAGCTGCCGTCACCGGCTTCCCTCCACCACCCAGGACCCGGGCTTCCCTTGCAGCCCTGGCTTTGTCCGGAAGGTCGTCTGGAAGGATGCCCGGTCTAATTAGCATATTATGCTTTTATTATTATAAATATTATAGGTTTCTCTCTTGGATGTATCTTCAGAGCCTGTAACATACTCATAAAGAACCTTAGCAGTTGTAGATCTCAAATATTTGGACAGTGAACTTGATTTTTGGCAAGAGCCCAAAGCTATTTAGAGTTAAGTACAGAGGAGTAAGATGGGTGTAAGCTGGTTAGTACCCTTTTGGGTTCAAAATGAGGTACAAAGATAAAATAATGAGACATTTTCTTCTGTGACACATAAGCTTCCTCCAGATGAAGAATTTAAGAGTAGTTTTAAGCAAGAGCAGCATTCTTGGAATAAGATCTAGTTTCCCATTAGGGCACTTGGAAGGATTATGTTCATATGAATGCTTGACCTCGGGCATGTAAAGCAAAATAATCTGGACATCCATTAACTTGGTGCCATGACACCTTCCCCATAGGACTGTTGTAAAGATGAAATGAGATCATGTTTGTAAGCTCTAAGCCCCTGTGTTTGGCATACGGTAAGCTCTAAATAATTGTTAGCTATATATCATAATAATAGCTTTATAATGGTACCTAAGGGTAAGGAGAGCTCTTAATGAAAGTTATAAAGATTCAGAAATCATTAAAATGGTAAGATAGCTGGGTTTATATAATAGACAGTAGCATTTCTTTAAGGATACATTTAGGGTAAACACTATAATTAGTTCTAATGGTCATAACTTTGCTAACAATTGAGACTGTTTTCTGAGAGTTTACTGAGATTGTCTAAGTGATTAGATTAATCTCAACAAAATTTGATTTTGAAATATTCTAAGCTTCTCATTACTGATATAGAGATATAAGGGTTTCAATGACGTCAGAGAAGTTGTTATGTTTGATATCAGCTTTTAAAGTATGGTATTTTAAGATACTATAAGCTTGCTGGATTTATAATCTTATGGATATTTGGGAGTAGAAAATAATCTAATTGATTTTTTTTACATATGGAGTATATTTAATGCCTTGCTGTATTATTAAAGTAAAAATTATTTAACTCAGGATTTGAGATTCTTATTATTAAAGTGGCAAATATTTAATGATCTCTGATTTGAAAAGAACTCAAAACCATGCATCTATAGCTATTTTCTCCTCATCGTTGTATACATTTTATGGCATACAATTTAGTGCCTTAATTATAAGAAAAGATAAACATCTTTTTAGTTTTATAACTATCTTGATTAATTTTTAGTAAGTGTTTTTCTCAGTAAAATACTTACAAATTTACATTTACAAATTATTCTAGCTTTTCTTTTAGCAAGACAGAGAGACAGATGTCATGTGATTTGGTTGCTGTTGGCAGGAAAAGTAAGAACTTTCATCCAGTGTTTGAACATCTTGTCTCAACTCAGAATACTGAAAACAAATCTACAGGAGAATTTTCTCAGGAAATCATAACTGTAATTCATCAAATTAAAGGTTGGTATATTTTGCACATACGTTAGGGATAACACAAGAATAATGTACTGACTTTTCACGAGATATAGGAAAATATCTGTGATATTGTAATAGTAATTCATATTCATTATCAGCTAGATCATTAATTAGGAAATCAGTTGAAGAGAGTAGCAAATATTAATTCAAGCCTAGTTGTTTATTTAATTACTAGAGGCCCAGTGCACAAAATTTGTGCATGGGTATGGTCCATAGGCCTGGCCTGCAATCGGCCATCTTCCCCAGCTGCCCTCAGCCAACCCTGCCCCCCGGTTCCCTGTTCGCCATTGGGTGATTGGTGCTTGACAGCGGGGGGGAAAGGATCGAGAGGTTGGCTGTTCCTGCCCGCTCGCCGACCCCACCCCCGCAGCAGGTGGCCATCAGGCTATCAGAGCCTGCCAGCCGGGGAAAGGGACAAAGAGGTGGTCAGTGTGCCTCATAGTGACTGGTCCAGCAGTTGTTCTGGTTGTTTTGCCGTTAGGGTCAATTTGCATAAACAGTGCAAATCCTATATAGGGGCCTGATGGATGGGTGGAGGCCGGCTGGCCTGCCCTGAAGGGGGTCCCAGATAGGGCTGGGGGTTCCCACTGTGGGGTGGGGCTGGCCTGGGCAGGGGGCTGAGGGCAGTTTGCAGGCCAGCTATGCTCCCAATCAGGGTGGGGGTCCCTGCTGGGAGGGGGGTGGAGCCAGCCTGGGCGAGGGGCCGCCAGGGATTTGCAGGCTGGCCATGCCCCCATCGGGGTGGGGTCCCCGCTAGGGAGTGGGGCCAACCTGGGTGAGGGGCCTGGGGTGGTTGCAGGCCAGCCATGCCCCTAATTGGGATGGGGGTCCCCACTGGGGGTGGGGCCAGCCTGGGCAAGTGGCCACGGGCAGTTTGCAGGCTGGCCACATCCCCAATTGGGGTGGGGGTCCCCGCTGGGGGGTGGGGCTGGCCTGGGCATGGGACCTGGGGCAGTTTCCAGACTGGCCAAACCCCCTCTCCCCCACCCCCAGCTTTATCAGGGAGGATGTCTGGAAGACGTCCAGTCTAATTAGCATATTACCATTTTATTAATATAGATTATTTTAAAGAGTACTAGATTCTCAAGGTAGCATGACACCTAGGCCTAGCTATGCTTTATGTGTAGTTCCAATAACCTGGCGCTTCAACTCATAGTAGATTTTAAATCAAAAGTTACAGAGGGAGAGGTTGGCTGCTGCAAAAACCTGTGAACTGAGAGCAGCAAGAAACAATAATTGATAACAGAACATGAAGGAGGAAGCAACAAAAACCAGATATGAAACTTAAGAAATCTGGTGACATTCTTTTTTTTTAATACTCTTTTTAAAAATAGTTTTTCTTGATTTCAGAGAGAGAAAGAGGGAGAAAGAGATAGAAACATCATTGAGAGAGAAAAATTGATTGGCTGCCTTCTGCACACCCCCTTCTGGGGAATGAGACCGCAACCCAGACATGTGCCCTGACCAAGAATGGAGTCTGAGACCTCCTATTGCGTGGGATGACACTCAACCAACTGAGCCACCACACAGGCTGGGCTGGTGATATATTTAATGCCCATGAGGGCATTACAGGACTTTGTGCCAGAAGGATGATGCTTAGTGATCAATAAAAGATTCCAGTTTTATTTGGCATACTTTATAACATTAGGGAGTTGTATAATAAATAAAGATTTGCATTGACTTGTTTTGTTATGCTGGCCAATTTCTATTAATTGAAAAATGTAGTCATGTAGAACAACTTTCCTAAATGATCCTGCATAAATAAGTCAATTATGGGTATTATAAACTAGACACCTTTGAGAATTCCAAAATTTTTATTTTATATATCTTACTAGATAATTACATTAATCTTTTCTTACATTCATAAAAACATATTTCAAAAAAATGAATTATTTTCTCTGCATCCCTCAAACTATGGCATATATTTACTTTGAAGTACTAGTATAAGGTCTGAAACAATTCGCCTTCTTAGTTCCAGCCCCTCTTACCCAAAGGAAGTGTGATTCTTGGCAGAAAGGGAGCTGGCATTGCAGAAAAAATCCAGGCGATTGTCTCGGAACAATAACTGCAAGTTAGGAAAAATGATTGCTTAAGTAGCATTCCGATGAGTCAAGTGTATTATCTTTCTCTCTCTCCTGTTAAAAGCCTGCAGCATAGCTGATTTCAGAATGTCTTCATGAACTTCAGTTAATGTTAAATGGCATTAGGAGGCCTTCTGTGATATGTAAACATAACATTTAGCATTTGTTCAGAATCATGTTTATATTTCTGGGTTGTTTTTAGAGTTACTTTTTTTTAAATATATTTTATTGATTTTTTTACAGATCGGAAGGGAGAGAGATAGAGAGTTAGAAACATCGATGAGAGAGAAACATCGATCAGCTGCCTCCTGCACATCTCCTACTGGGGATATGCCCGCAACCAAGGTACATGCCCTTGACCAGAATCGAACCTGGGACCCTTCAGTCCGCAGGCCGATGCTCTATCCACTGAGCCAAACCGGTTTCGGCTAGAGTTACTTTTCACTCGAGGTGAACTAGAGCTTCTCAAATACAGTAGTTCTTGTCTTGGAGAAGAAAGGTCCTCACTTTGAGAAAGCTACTGTCTTTTCCCCCAACAAGTAAGCAGGCATTTCAAATAGGAACAGAATCTATGGGTTAATAAATCAGGTACGTTACTATTGCTTGGGCTTGAGAAAGCATGGAAGCACTATGAATAGTCTGTGGAATGTTTAGGTCCCACATATTTTCAAGAGAACACAGTTTGGATGATTTTTAGTCCTTTCTTCCTGTGCTTATATATATAATCTTTTAAATGCAATCAGTTTTACAATGAGATAAAACTTCCTTTTTTTCCCCCCAGCAAATACTTTTTCATCATCTGGCGTTACTCTACATGAGCGTTTCTCAAAAATACAAGATACACCAGCTACAAAAGGTGCAAATGAACTTAAATCGAAATTAGATCCAGAAATTCACAGGTAATGATTAATTACTGTATGCCCACTTAACTCATGTGAATAAGCCTCAGAAGAGATGCGGGAAGGTGCTGCCTCCTGGGCTTGCTGTAGACTCTAGGACTGGATTTCCTACCTAAAAATAGGACAAACCCAAGCAGGTACTGGGGCCTGTGCACTGTGATGGGATAGGTTGTACTGAAGCCATTGACTAGCATTGTTGAATGTGGAGGACTTTGAAAATGTTTTCCTACCTAACTTTGATTCTGCTGTGTCTATAGTAATTGCCTACTGAAGTTATCACTGGAAGAATGAAAGACAGTTGTCGAGCCATTGAAATCATGGGTTGCTTCATGTGGTCAGAAATGGCTGTTCTGAGAACAGCTGGATGAAAACTTATATGTCTTCTGCTACTGGCACCTGTTTTGTGAGCTGAGTTGAAGCAATGTTAGAATGCAGTAGATCACTGGAGTAAAGTTTAAGGTTACACAAACTAGTGATTTGAGAACCACTAAGGTGTCACTGGGGGATGTTCAAAGGATATGAATGTCTTGGGAAACTGCCACCTAGATGAAAAACTACCTCGTGGCAAGTTTCTTTTGCTTCCTCCAAGACACAACAGTTTTGCTTCAAATTCCATTCTGTAGTAATGGAATGAAGGTATCAGTGTATAACATAATCATTTGATTGTAATATGCCTTTATTATTTTAGGAAAATAGATATGTGTTTGGCCGAGCTTCGGAATAAACAAAATACGGTATGTGGTTCAGAACAGGTAAGTGCATACAATTTTTGTTGCGAGATTATTTTATCATTGGCATAAGGAATGGAAAAGGGAACGGGATGGGGAGTAACAAAAAAGGAGTTAAAGTAGATGAAGAAGAAGGATAGAGATCCAAGAATCTGAAACTTACAAAGCTCTCCAGGGGATTCTAGTTATTGGCCAGGTTGCAGAAAGACAACTGACAAAAGACAAAAATATTCCCTAAGAGAGACAGTCCCTAAGGGCAACTGCTTTGTAAAATTGACACAAAATTGTAACCTTTATTATTCATTCAGACTTTACACTGAAAAGCTTGTAGAAAGTATGTTTGATACCTAGTTTTTCCAAAGTAGTTGCATAATGTATTTTTAAATCGTATGTAGAGTGAATGCAAAAGAACTTAGTTTTATTTGATATTGTCCTTCTATTTATTGTAAAATGTATAAAAGAGTATATGGAATATGAACAAGCAAAATAATGGAAATAATGCTGAATTTTTTTTATTGTCACGTGTTGTTTGTGGTGGTTCCCACCCCAGACCTCCCGTCACCCATTTCTTGGCTAATTAGAAAAAACTATCTTAACTAGCCAAGCGGGAAGAAACCTGGCTCTTGTTTTAGAAGTATATTAAGTTCTAAAAGAGCTGCTGGTTTATTCACTGAGAGTAAAGAGTTTTTCTTAAGGGGAGATTTTAATACATTTCTGATAAAATAAATAAATAATTGTTTTACTTGTGAATGGTTACAATTTTTATTGAACTTATGGAGATAGGTTAGTTTATTAAATAAATGAAATTTTCAGAAAATTTCTACTTATCAAAGTACTGTAATCAACTTAAAGGAAATTTGAGGGTTTTTAAAAATTAGAGGCTAAAAAAATCCTCTAATCTAACCCCTTAACACAAAAATCTGGTTTGGTCATCTTTTCTTGCAGTCCTACCTCTAGCATTTTACCATAGTCACGATCATAGGATAGGCAGTTCTCCAGGCTTTTTTTCTTTTTACTTAAACTGTAATAACACTCTTTCTATGTAAAAAGCTCTGAATTCCCCATGACCTTTTATGATTGAGGCTTTTCAGTTTCAATTAAATTTTTTTCAAACACTTTTTAATAAATGTTTTTATGATAACTTATACATTAGCGTAATTTAAATGCTTGTACATTATTCCTTTGACTTAAATTTACCATAAAATCATTCTTCCCTTCCCCTTTAATTTTTTTATATTTAAGTTGCTTTTCATTGTTTTTTGTTGTTACTTTAAATATAGCACTTTGAATATATTTGGATAGATAGCCTTTTCTTTGGAATAGAGTCCCAGAAGTGGGATTCCTGGTTCAATGCCATAAGCTTTTCTTACTCTGTATCTAAAAATATTTTTATTAATTTACACTACAATTAGTTGGATGAGTACAAGATAACTTATTTAGGACTTTTGCTTAAGGTTCTTTTTAGATATGGTCTTTGTGCAACTAACAGTAATGTGAATGGTTTGTCTTCTGTCAAAATTCCTCAGACTCAGGTCAAAGTAATAGATCCAAATGACCTACGACATGACATTGAAAGAAGGAGAAAAGAACGGTTACAGAATGAAGATGAGCACAGTTTTCACATAGATAGTGCTGCAGAGAGGTAATCAGTAGATGAAAAACATCCTGTTATCAGGGAGTTTTTGGTATCAGCGTATATTTTTCAATTATTTTTGTGTGGTGATAATTTTAATTTTAGCATAGGGATTTAATCCTTCAAATCTATTTTATATATTTAGGTAGAATCTATTAAAATGTTTCAAGTTATTCACTGATCATCATATGCTGTTTGATTTAAATTATGAGGAGTAAGTGAATATTTGAGGCCTTGATAATTCGAGAAAGGAGTATAATAGTTTTTTAAATATTAGCAAGAGCAAGAGCCAGGACCAGCAAGTTTATGGATTATTTGGCTCAAACTGATTTAGACACATTTTGCCCTTTAGATTCTGGTATTCTTTGAATATTGCAAAATTTGCTGAGGTCAGTGCAGTTCTCTTCATGAATGTCTGACCATGAAACAAGCAGGTATAGTAGAAAATGCAAGGAGCCCTAGCCGGTTTGGCTCAGTGGCTAGAGCGTCAGCCTGCAGACGGAAGGATCCTGGGTTCAATTCCGGTCAAGGGCACATGCCCGGGTTGCGGGCTCGGTTCCCAGTAGGGGGCATGCAGGAAGCAGGAGACTGGAGTTTGAACCCCACCTCTGCCAGTTTGTAAGCTCTTGGGCATACTTGCTTAGTTTCCTCTCTAAAATGAGAATAATCAATTGGCAATGGAGAGGTTAGAATAGTAAATGGGCTGGTACATGCAAAGTACGTAAGCCATGCCATGGCAAATTTATTGGCAGTAGATTCTTGTTTTTCTTTCCCATACTTATGCCTCTTTTTAGGGGCTCTGAGTATTGTAGGTTGGCCCCAGTTCATCTCTAGTTTTATTTTTATTTTTATTTTTTAATATATTTTATTGATTTTTTACAGACAGGAAGGGAGAGGGATAGAAAGTTAGAAACATCGATGAGAGAGAAACATCGATCAGCTGCCTCCTGCACACCCCCCACTGGGGATGTGCCTGCAACCAAGGTACATGCCCTTGACTGGAATCGAACCCGGGACCCTTGAGTCCGCAGGCCGAGGCTCTATCCACTGAGCCAAACCGGTCAGGGCCATCTCTAGTTTTAAAAACTATGTGGAACTCATAGCAACGGTGGGACTCCATGTGATTATGTGGTGTAATTGAATGGGACAAAATTTCCAGTTCACCCCAATAGTTCTCATACTATTTGGATCTCCCAGAAAATGTGAATATATGACTAGAAAGGGCAAATGCTAATTTCCTTTCCATGGTCCTTCGTGTCAAATTACTGATAATTTGACTAGACTTTTAGGTCTATGATGAACTAGGTCTTAAGTCAAAATATATGGAGTTTGTTTAAAACTGGACTTGATTCTGACAATAAGTTTGGGACCAATTAAAAGATAGCAAAACTGTGTTGAGGCATATAAAAAATTGAAAGAAAAATAATAGCTCGGCAGGTGAGGCTCAGTGGTTGAGCGTGGACTTATAAAGCAGGAGGTGACGGTTCAGGTTGCGGGCTTGGTCCCTATTGTGGGGCATGCAGGAGGCAGCCAGTCCACGATTCTCTCTCATCAGTGATGTTTCTATCTCCCTCTCTCCCTTCCTCTCCAAAATCAATAAAAACATGTATATATTTTTTTAAAGTTTAAATCTCATTCCTTGGTAGGTGAAAGTGACACAAGCTCTCATGCTTTTCTTGACTCAGCAAGTGTAAGAGACTCAGTGTACCAAGAAAGAGGATTTTAAAAACAGTTAAGATAATCAACAAATAAAGACCATGGAATGCTTCAGAATATATCTTCACACTTTGAGCACTGAATTCAACGCCTGGCTCTGTAGTGACTGACATTAAACAATTTATTTCGTCTCTATTTCCTCAGCTGTAAAACAGATAAGAATTATACTTACCTCACAGTGGTGGTTAAGACTAAGTAGAGTGATGCATGTAAGGCACAGAGTAGCTGGTCAGTGATACATATTATTAATGTTAGCCTTGAGGATGGTGCTGTAGCATGCAAAGATTTTTTCCTGTAAGATGTCTTTTGCTGGGTCAGTTGGTGGTGTAGTGGAACCATGAAGGTTTTTTTTTAATTGAGATATTGCCATAAAATTCACCCTTTGAAAGTGAACGAACAATTCAGTATTTTTTAATATACTCACGAAATTGTATAACTGTTACCACTATCTAATTCCTGAGCATTTTCATCATGCCCAAAAGAAAGCCTGTACCCATTGTCACTTCTTATATGTCCCTCTGCCCTGCCCCTGGCAAGCACTAATCTACTTTCTGTCTGTTTTGACTATCCTTGACATTTCATATCATTTCAGTCATCTAATATGTGGCCTTTTGTGACTGTTTTCATGTACCATAATGTTTTCAACGTTCTTCTATGTAGCATGAATATTCCTTTTATGGCTGAATAATATTCCATTGTGTGGACATGTCACATTCTGTTTATCCACTCACCAAATTGATGGATATTTGGGCTGTTTCTACTTTTTGGCAATTGTGACTAATGGTGCTGTGAAAATTTGTGTGCAAATTTTTTGTGGACATATGTTCTCATTTTTGTATACACTTAGGTTTGGAATTGCTGGGTCATTGATAACTTTGCTGAACTAGAATTAACTTTATAGAAATCTTTTATTCATATATTCAACAAATATTTATATATTTAATTTCTATGTTCTAGTCATTATTTAAGCACTGGGCATACAGTGAAAAGCTATACACCAAGCATTTGCCCTCATGGAGCTTATAATTTAATTGTAAGAGAAAGAAAAAATAAATATATTTCAGTCAGGGTAGGTAAAAGTAAGGCGCAAGAGGAACTTTAATCGAGTGATAGTGTGTTATGATTTTACTTATGATAGTTATGGAATGCACTTATGTTTGTGTGCTTTTTAAAATTGAGCAGGGATGTGAATTATGTGCATAGCCATAGGGTTTTTTTGAAGGGATAGTGCAAATGTGAAGACCTTGAGGCAAAATCACACTTGCTCTTGAATAAGGATTAGAAAGGGGCCAATGAGGTTGTAACACAGTGAAAAAGGGAGAGGGTTCGATAAGACCAAATCACAAAGGGCATTGGAGAACATGAAGACTTTGTAATTTACTTTGAGGGAGATTAGAAAACATTTTGGTTTCTAATCCAAGAAGAGACATAATCTCATTAAATTTTAAAAGGATCACTGTGCTTGTTGGGTGGAAAATGAACTGTAAGAGTAGAGGAACAATTCTTTCTCATGTAAAAAAAAATTAGAGGCAGGAAGGCAGAGCATGGTAGGGTGGAGCCATTGGAACCAGGCTCCTTCGATCTTACTCCAGATAGCCCCTGCACATGGCACTTGCCTGGTAGTCCAAGATGAGCATTTGTGCCCTAGCCATCATGTTCACGTTCCAGCCTTTACTTTAAAGACTTCCTGGAATTTACATGTGATACTTTGGCAACATTGGTCTTAATTTAGTCTCCTGGCCATGCCTCGCTGCAGGGAGGCTGGGAAATATGTTCTTTAACTTGGACACTCATTTGCCTGGTCAAAAATCAAATATAAAAAATTTATAAAATTTTTATTGTGGTAAAATATGCATATCATACATTTTACCATTTTTAAGTGTACAGTTAATTGGCATTAGGTACATTCACAATGTTGTGCAACCATCACCACTGTTCACTTCCAGAAGTTTTTAATCTTCTTAAACAGAAACTCTGTACCAAGTAAACTCTAACTCCCCATACACCGTGCCCCCAGCCCCTGATATTCTTTCTGTCTCTCTGAATTTGCCTATTGTAGTTACATGTATATATGTAAGTAGAATCTTACAGTAATCGTCCTTTTGTGTCTGGCTTATTTGACTTATAATGTTTTTCATCCATGTTGTGTCATATGTCAGAATTCTATTCTTTTTTAAAACTTCATTCCTTTATAAAGCGGAATGATATTCCATTGTATGGATATCCTCATCTTGTTTATCTGTTTTTCTGTTGATGGACGTTTGGGTTTCCATCTTTTGGCCGTTGTGAACATAGTTGTTGTCATCTTTTTTATTATAGCCACTCTAGTGGGCATAAAATATTATTTAATTGGCATTTTGATTTGCATTTCTCTAGTGACTAATGCTGTTGAGCATCTTTCCATGTGCTTTTTGTGTCTTCTTTGGAAAGTATCTATTCAAATCCTTTTTCCGTTTTTAAAATTGGATTCTTGTATTTTTATTATTGAGGTATAATGGTTATTTATAATTCTGGATACTACTCCCTTATCAGATAGGCACTTTGCAAAGAGGATATTTTAAATAAAGTCCATCAAGTAGTAGAACATGCTAGCAGTAAACATCTGAAAGATTATAACAAAGTTGAAAAACAAAAATATAAGACATTCTTAATTTAACTAGTCAGAGATGACCACTATTAATGTTTAGTACATTTTCTATCATTTATTTATTTATTTCTGGGCATATATGTGTATATTTTAAATAATTGAAATTATCCTTATGATGTGGCTTTGCACCCTATTTTTTGATTTACTATCATTATCAGGAGTATTTTGACAGAACATAGGGTGGGTGTTTTGTTGTTTGTTTTTTTTTTTACATTTCAAAAAAACCCGAGTGGCTAATTCATGTCAGGTTCTGGGGTCAGAGCTGGGGCCACAAAACAAACCATCCACGGTGTCTCCTCTGAAGGGATCAGCTTGCAGGGTGAAACAGACAGGTGCCCAAGCAGTTACAAATGCAAGTGATAGGGTAGAGACCTGAGATGCTACATATGCACTTAGCAGGGGTGCCTAGGCCACCATAGAGGGGTCTGGGAAAGCCTTCCTGGAACAGGTGCAAATGGAGCTAAATCTGGAAGTTGCTCTAAGTTAGAAGGAACTCACCACAGAAGGAAGTGCACATGCAAAGGCGTGGAAGCAGGAGAGACTGTGCCAGGAGCCACATGCAGCTAAACGTTCCTGAAGCTCAGTGTGCATGCTGGGAGGGAGAATGGAATGAAGCAGCCAGGCAAGGCAGCAAGGGACAGAGCAAGAAGGGCCCCAGGGAACATGATGAAGAGTGTGGATTTTGTCCCCATGTCACTGAGGGACAGAGACCTGTGGGATGGACTGAAGCAGGGCCGAGGCAGTGAGACGTTTGTTCACTGTAGAGCAGAAAGGGTGTGAGGAGCACCGTGGGGAGATGTGGGATGGAAAGGGAGAGGACTCTGAGGGCTATGGAAATGAGGTCCCGGGGCTGGAGGAGAAGCCTAGGGAAGGACCTCCCTCCCACATAGGGCTGCCCTCCCTCTGGGAAGAGCCCTTGTTGGCTTCTGGCCCTAGTGGTGAGAGTAGAGGGGGTTGTCCTTAGCTTCTGTCACCCAGCAGTGTCAGAGGCCCCTGCTCTGTCATGAGGGGACTTTGAGCCCATCACACACCTCATCTCAGGTGCTTTCACCAATAAGAGTTTGTCGGCAAGAGGAGTCCAGTGCTGCCAAAGGCTTGAGAGCAGTTATTTTCTACCCTCAGAAAATACACATTCTCATGGTTCCAAGGTGTTACAGCCCTCAGGAGGCCTGTCCTTGGACCCCAGATTGAGAATGCTGGTCCAAGGAATACTGTTTTACCCCTGTTGCTAACTTACACTCAGCTAAATAATGTTTGTTGATAAATGAAGGTTTTAACCTTGGAAACTATCATTTGTGATTTTAGTAGTGATAGATCATTGAGATTATTTTTGCTGTTGTGCCACTTTGTCTCTGAAGGGGGTAATTTGATTTCTCATGTTTATTTGTTGGATAAAAGTAAACTAATAAAAGATTCTGATTTTCTGTCTCTCATTTTATTAGGAATAATCAGTTTTCCTGTTTTTCATCTCATGATGATAGCTTCTCAAACCCTCATTGTGTTACAAGGTCAAATTCTAGAAAGTTTATTCAGACTCCTTACACGGTAAGATTGCAGTTCTAAATTTTTCATTTTTCTACATTCTATCCTCCTCAGCTATATCTATGTGTACAGGGATCACCGATATTTTTCATAATGTCTATAACTAATTGTTCAGTAAGTATGGGTTATAATTCTTTTGTTTAACATTAAGATTCTGTTGAGACATATAATTATGACAGAAGAAATGGTCATCTCTTATTTGATTTAGCAGGATTTTATTGCACTTATTATAGTACTAGCTTTCTTTAATTAAGAACAGTGTTATTAAGGTATAACTTACATACCATGAAATTTACCTGTTTTAGGTGTATGATTTAATAATTTTTTGTAAATTTACCAAGATGTGTAATCATTACCATAATCCAGTTTTAGAACATTTTTGTGACCCCAATAAGAGCCCTTATACATGCTAACTTCTAATCTACTTTTTGTTTTTAAAGATTTGCCTTTTCATAGGGCAGTTCACAAATGGCAGCTGGCTTCCATAAGAGCAAGCAAATGATGTCTAGAAAGATAGATGCCAGAGTGTGTTTGTAACCTAATCTCAGCTGCAGTACTCTATTTGTAAGAAGCAAGCCCACACTGAAAGGAAGGGGGTGGCATAGGGCCCTGGTCAGAAGTTGCCGGTAAAGTCCTCCCACTGGCCTACAGTAATTCATATCCTTTCACTTCCTTCCTCCCAGGGTCCCTGAAAGTCTCATCTCATTGCATGTATCTTTATGCATTTATTCAAATTTATACTCTTAGTATAAATTCAAGATGACTACTATGAAAAGTGTTTTATGTGACTTAAAAAAATTTTTTTAAACTAATTTCAGAGAGGAAGAGAGAGATAGAAACATCAGTAATGAGAGAGAATCATTGATCAGCTGCCTCCTGCATGCCCCACACTGGGGATCAAGCCTGCAACCCAAGCCCTGACCTGGAATGGAACCGTGACCTCCTGGTTCATAGGTCAATGCTCAACCACTGAGTTGCGCCAGCTGGGCTGTGACTTTTTTTAACTGAGGAGAGAGGTAAAGGTATGAAAGGAAGATTTGTGAGAAGTATAGACTCAAATGGCATAAAGAGAAGGTTATAAGACTATTAGAGGGCCGGTACACAACATTCATGCACTGGCGGGGGGGGGGGGGGGGAGTGCCCCTTAGCAGTCTGGGAGCCCTCAGGGATGTCCAACTGACGGCTTAGGCCTGCTTCCCCCCACCCACTGCTGCGCTTGCTGTCAGCCTGGCTTGTGGCTGAGCAGCTGAGTGGCGCTCCCCCTGTGGAAGTGCACTGACCACCAGGGGGCAGCTCTTGGTGGTCAGTGCGCATCACAGCAACCGGTGTTTCTGCCATTCGGTCAGTTTGCATTTACCCTTTTATTATATAGGATTATTTTGGGGGGGAAAGAAGCCATCTTTCAGAATGGGCCCTATCTTTTCTGTTCCCATCAAAAGGTTCAGGTTCTTTGTAGTTACTGTCTTAATTCTTTGACTTCTGATAGTTTCCTAGTTATGGCAGGAGCATTTGCTCAAATAATTGATCTGAGCAGCAAAACCTGCCTCCTACAGTGTTGAGAATTTGTTTTCTTAGACATTGTGGATTCTAGCAACTCCTGATAATAATGGGTTGGTTTCTCTTCTGCATGCTTGAATAAATCGTACATTTTTAGTCCATTTTGTAAAAGTTACCCATTGTGTTATGCAGGAGTATTTTTTTACACTTTTTACGTTTGTGAATTAAACAAGCCCTTCACAAACTAGCATGGTTTATGTGAAGGAAGATGTATATATGTTCCTATAGTTAAGCTACATGCTACATGTTTTGTGTTCTTAATCTTGTACATTTAAAATGGGTGTTTAATGATAAAATGAAGTTTTAAAAGTAAACTTTAACATGTATTAACCCATGCTAATACTTTTTCCACATAGGATTATACTATGCAGAGAAACAACAACAGTACTCACAAGGCATTTAAAGTTGAGAGAAACCATCAAAACAGAAGGGGCTTCAGATCTTTTAAGGTATTGAGTGTTATTTTCCATTTAATTCTAGCTTTTGGTTTATGCTTTGAACATAATGTTTTAAGTAATGGCTAAATTCAAAGCTGTTTATAGTAGCTATATTCTTTCTGGACACTTAGAGTTAACTTTAATCAATTTAATGATGACTTCTTTCCTCAGGACTTGATTTTCAATTTTTTTGTAGCCAGTGGAACATTTTTACAAATATTACATGGAAATACAAATACATAAAAAATACACAGAATGGCTTTCAGTGGAGAGGCAGACCAGTCTCAAACCCTTCTTCTAAATCTGTCCCTTTATCTCTAAGACAAAAGTGCATAGCTATAGAACCTTCTCCAGGATTTACAGATATAAAAAACCCTGCCCACAAATAGACATGCAGCCCTCAGAGGCCTTCTGGATCGACCATCAGAGAAAGTTTCTGATCCAGGAAACTTTGTTAAAGATACTCCATCACATTCTTCGTGTACAGCTATGTCTGATGTAAGTGATAGTTTTAATCAACCAGCATGTTTGATTATCCCGATAACCTCATCCCCCAAACGTAAGGGATAAGAATATAGTGCAAAATAGTGTATTTTTCTTTTCTTGCTCTCAGAAGTTGAAGTGCTTTTTAAATCCACCTGGACTGATTTTCCTGCTTATGATAGGTACTTTATTCATATTTTTTCATTCCACAGTGTCTTCCCTCCCCCGCAAAAAGGAGAAGAATCTGAGGTTTTTGTGTGTGAAAGGAGCAAGCAGGCTGGACGGAGTAGTTAGCTCAGTAGGAAGTTAGTATGAGCAGAAAGGTATTATAAACTATCCTCAAACCATAGAGTAGGAGGGTAGCTGAGTGATCTATTAATACCTGGCTTCTTGAGAGTCAAAATTTTTAGATGTCAAAAGATTTTTTCCACTGGGAGCAACACAATTAGTAGGCATTGAGTAGATAGCATTTTAGCCAATAGTTCACGTACCTAAACACATGTGTGACATTAGATTTTCAAAAATAGCTATGGCTATAGAATATATAAACATGTTTTATACCATCTTTTAATGTCTTAAAATCATTCATTGAAAATGTGATGTCTGCATAGCTTAGAGACTTTGTCAATGGACTTTCAGATTTAAGTGCTTGCTACATGTTGTTCTAATCATTGGTCAGATATAGTTGATTGTAGTCTTTTTCTACAGTTGTTATGAGTTCTTTCATGTTATCCTTCCTCCTTAATGAAAAGTTCATTGACATTAATTATAAAATTTTAAAAAATATATGTAATAATTTTCTTGACCATTCATTTGGACTAATTCAAAGCCAGAATTAGTAATCACCTTATGAGATATGTAACAGTGGACATTGTAAATAGTATGCAAATAGTTTTAACAAAATTACTGTCTCATCATAATTCTGTTTTACCTGAATTTTTTATAGTCTTAAAAAATAATTGGAAAATAGGTGTGGTTTAAATACTTTTTATAAACTTATATACTTCTTTATGCATGACATACCCATTGTTAAATAATTGTGGAAAGAAGAATATACTTAGTTTTTATAATTACTCCATTATTATATACCATTTGTATCTTTTCCACATGGGAAACACAACAATTCATTGTCATTTTACATCTATTGTAATTTTGGGCAGTCTTTTTAAGTATAATTCTTAACTTGAAAATACTTGCTAATGGAATTTTATGTTAAAGAAAGATTAGTTTTCCCTGGCTAGGTGGCTCAGTTGATTGGAGCATTGTCCCGAGCACCAAAAAGATTGCGGGTTTGATTCCTGGTCAGGGCACATATCTATGTTGCAGGTTTGATTCCCAGTCAGGGTGTGTGGGGGAGGCAGCCACTGGATGGTTCTCTCTCACATCAATGTTTCTCTCTCTCCCCCCGTCCCACTTCCTCTCTCTCTCAATTCAATAAAAACATATCCCCGGGTGAGGATTAAAAAAGAAATATTGGCTTGAAGGTACTGACAAGAATAAAGTTAAGAGAGTTTTTCTATTCTTAAATAGACGTTGATACTTAATGCCTTCCCTCAATTTGTGATTTGATATATTTCACTATGAATAAGAAGGAAAATTTTAGCTCATTAGAGATTTTGGAAGTTGTATTTTTCTTAGCGTGGTCAATTTCAAAATTATTTAACTTAACGGTTTTAAAAAATGATTTTATGTGAATTTTTAAATTTTTATGTAAGCCTTGGCCAGTGTGGCTCAGTTGTTTGGAGCATCATCCAGTATACCAAGAGGTGACGGGTTTGATTCCCAGTCAGGGCACATATCCAGGTTGCAGTTTCCATCCCTGGTCCGGACATGCGTGGGAGGCAACTGATCAATGTCTCTCCCTTTCTCTCTCTCTCTCTCTCTCTCTCTCTCTCTCTCTCTCTCTCTCTGTCTCCCTCCCCTCCCTTCCTCTCTTTAAAATCAATGCAAAAAGTTTTAAAAAAATAAGCTAGGAAACTAGTTTGAGGAAAATGTACTTTATTTCCATCATTAACCTCTTCCCTTTTAATATTTGTAGGAATCAAGGGCAGCTCTAAATACCAGACATTTTTCCATTTCTTATGCTAATAAAGTAGATTTGGAAGCTATAGTTTTAAGATTTAATTATTTTTTTCCTTTACAGGCCAAGTTTAGAGGTGGCAGGCTGAAGCCCTATTGTAAATCAGGCCTAGTAAAGAAGAGCTTGAACATTCAGGCTAAATATCAGCGTTTACGGTATGCTGGTTCAAAGGGATTTTTCACTAAAAAATACAGAGACAGATTGCTGAGGAAAAAAAAGGTTAGTTGGATTATGATGCATTAAAAATACTGAGTGACTTTGGAACTCATAAATTATCTCTGATTAATAGATAAGTTGGGTTTTTAATTTAATTTGACTTGGGAAACAACCTAGATTTCAAAAATACTCTTATTGTATAATAGTTGCAGAAAAACTTCAAGGAGCAGTGGTAATAGAGCTGTGAGACTGTATAATCTGAAAATGCTTTTAGCTGTTATACCTCAAATATTTTGAATATAACAGCTGTTGAAACTTTTTACCTTAGAATAGCTCCTCTATGATTCACTTTTGAAATGGAAATTCAGGTAGACTTTTAACTGATATATTTTAGCCTTATAAAATATGAATTATCTAAGTACCAAAAAATATTGAACTGACTGTAGAAAAAGTGTACATAATTGCAAAATATGCTAACTCTTCTTTTTCCCCTACTCATATATGCTTTATTTTGATAAAATATATAAAAAATTTGCCATTTTAACCATTTTTAGGTATACAATTCAATGGTATTAATTACATTCAGAATGCTGTGTAAGCATCACTACTTTATGCTAACTCTTCATGCTAATAAAAAGTTTCTTGCTCTGCTGGCATGGCTCAGTGGTTGAGTGTCAACCTAAGAACTAGGTACAGTGATGGCGAACCTTTTGAGCTTGGCGTGTCAGCATTTTGAAAAACCCTAACTTAACTCTGGTGCCATGTCACATATAGAAATTTTTTGATATTTGCAACCATAGTAAAACAAAGACTTATATTTTTGATATTTATTTTATATATTTAAATGCCATTTAACAAAAAAAAATGAACCAAAAAAATGAGTTCGCGTGTCCCCTCTGACACGCATGTCATAGGTTCCGCCATCACTGAACTAGGAGGTCATGGTTCGATTCCTGGTTGGGGCACATGCCTGGGTTGTAGGCTCGATCCCTAGTGTGGGGCATGCAGAAGACAGCCTATCAGTGATTCTCTCTCATTATTGATGTTTCTATCTCTCTCTCCCCCTTTCCCTTCCTCTCTAAAATAAATAAAGTATATTTTTAGAAAAGTTTCTTTACTTGATCATTTGAATTTCATACTCTTAGTTGTAGATAGATTTTATTTAAATTTGCCATATTGGTATTTGAAAATACAGCATCAATATGATATAAAATTACATTCTACATATTATATTTTAAATGAGAATAATAGAATTATATCAGTTAAGGGAGGTTATTTTGTCAATATTTTTATTAATCTTTGTTAATAATTATGAACGAATATTTTCTTCTGAGAAATGTCTGTATATTTAGTGTTGCTATCAAATAGTCCAACTGTGGTTTTATAAATTTGTTAACCATAAATGTTTCCTTAAATATTCATACCTGTGAAGCCTTTACACTGAGCTTGCTTAGTGGTTTTAGTAAAACTTGTTTTTTAAAACATGGATCAATAGAATGGAATTTACAGCTGATTTTTTTCAGTTTTGAAATTAGATATATCTTCTGAACTTCTCTCACCTCCTAATTTTAATTGAGTACCTTAGAAGAGGTTTCTAATTTCACTGTGTATGTCATCCTAGGTGTTATGAAAGCCATCTCTCCTTTAAAAATGGAGTGAAATTGCTATAATTTCCCCCTCTTATACCCCTCCCTGCTGTTGGACTGAGGTGCTGGCTTCTCTTCCTGTCTTGTGTGGCAGATTTCTTTGCAGCAGATCTTTCTACATATTTATCCCCAATCACAGGTGGCAGCTTGCATGGTCTCAGGGAAGCTAGTCATTGATTTCCACTTGAGGAGGAAGGCTGAAGCAAGCCTTTCCCTTAACTTTATGGTTGAGTTTCAGGTACATGTTACGTGTTTCTCTTCTGTTAGTTCTTTGCTAACCTTGGAATGTTAGCTTCATTCAATTCCATTTTTACCTCTATTCTTGCCATGATTTGGGGCTCCTGGGTGCTTACTTGACTGCTTGCCTCAGCCTGTGCTTTCTATACACTCATTGGACTTGCTCCATTTCATCATCCTTGTTTTTGCCTCACCTTGCCCTGTTCCTACTGACCATCCAGTTCTTCCAGACCACGTTGACCTCGCTTAGCAGCAAATAGAAACCAGACATCAAGCCTTCATCTTAGGACCTGATGTGTGTTTTCTAGAAGGAGCCACAGCCTGCTATAGGTCTCTAATCTTTAGGGCTTAAGCGTTTTTAAAAAATGGTGTGTGTTTTTTAAATATATTTTTATTTATTTTAGAGAGAGTGGAAGCGAGAGGGATAGAGAGATAGAAACATCAATGAAAGAGAACATTGATCGGCTGCCTCCTGAACTGGGGATTGAGCCTGCAGTCCGGGCATGTGCCCTAACTGGGAATCGAACTGTGACCGCCTGATTCATAGGTTGATGCTCAGTCACTGAGCCACACTGACCTGGCTTTTTGTGTTATCTAAAATGTAGCAGTTATGGTTAATGGCCAGTGCAGGTCATTGGCCCTGTCCTGTTGCCTTTCACTGCCTTTTGAGTACGTTAGAGGTGTCCCAATACACTGAATGAAAAAAAATCAGTGTCTTCTATTGTTTTTCTTAGACATAACCCTCTGGATGCTACTTCATATATCTTTGTACCGTAGCTACTTTGACATGGGTTTGTTCAGTCTGCCTGTTGTCAGTGCCTGCAAGCAAGCCACAGCCAGGCTTTTATAGATGGTGTTTGAACAAGGCATAACTCTACAAGTATGGCATGAAGTCAGGCTTCCTACTATTAGCGCCCTACTTAATATCAGGGCTCCACACTCTCCTGACCTTTAGGAAAAGTAATGAGGCATTGCAGCAGCTCTGTTTCTGCCAAGGTCTTAAGGCTTACTGGGTCTTAGAGGTGTGTGTGTGTGTGTGTGTGTGTGTGTGTGTGTGTGTGTGTGTGTTTAATATATTTTCGTTCTGATTAGTGGGAACCAAGGTACTTAAGGCTTACTTGGCCTTAGAGCTGTCCCAGTAGTATTGTGCTGAAACCCCATTCTACGTGTATAAACTGATGATTTAGACCTATTATTCCATTTTACCTCAACTTTCATGCCCTAAAGAAAAGAGGTAGAGGCCTGGAGTCTTTGGTTTCTTCTAATGTTGCTTGCTTCCCCTTTCTCTTAGATTAGGGGCACTTTTGCTCAAATGGGTTACTGGGTGTGAGGTACCATTTACATCACTTTTCATCCCAAGTCCAGCATTAGAGGGAACTTTGAGTCTACTGTCCTGGAGAGAAACCTTAGTCTGAGCAGCAATTGTTCACTGCTTTGGCTTTTTTGCCCTAATAGGAACTTCATTCTTTTCATTACTAGACCACTAGCTAGATTAATTAAGGATGTGTCATCAATTCATTAATCTAGGTACTCTAGACTTCTTCTCCCATGCCTCAAAGTCCACCAGGAAGGTTTCGATTGTTCTTGTCTGGACTTCTCACTCCATCACAGTATTGAGATTGCTGGGCTGATCATTCATGGCGTGGCAGTCTTGTGACGCTCAACTGTAGTGCGGTCTGGTTACTGTGCATCAGATGTGCTTCCTGTCTCCTATGTCCTCTTGTCCCACTAACCAGAACAATTGTGGCTTCCCTAAAACCACCTTGGTTCCCCAGCTGCCTACAAAGTAGTAAGATTCCCAAGCAGTATTAGGAAAGTACAGAACTGAAATTCTTTCTCGTCATTCATCATGCACTTGTCATATCAATCCCATCCTGACACCCAAATCCCCTTTTATTGTACCTCTTTTTTATTGGATTCTGGGCTTAGGCTGAAAGATAAAGGGGTTGGAAGAATGTCTGTTACCACCTGAAATAAGGCTGGTCTTTTTTAAAAAATATATATTTTATTGATTTTTTTACAGAGAGGAAGGGAGAGGGATAGAGAGAATCAGAAACATCGATGAGAGAGAAATATTGATCAGCTGCCTCCTGCACACTCCCTATTGGGTATGTGCCCGCAACCAAGGTACATGCCCTTGACCGGAATCAAACCTGGGACCCTTGAATCCACAGGCTGACACTATCCACTGAGCCAAACCAGTTAGGGCAAGGCTGGTCTTTTTAAAAATATATATACTTTTATTGATTTCAGAGAGGAAGGGAGAGGGAGAGAGAGATAGAAACATCAATGATGAGAGAGAATCATTGACTGGTTGCCTCCTGTATGCCCCACACTGGGGATTGAGCCCTGACCTCCTGGTTCATAGGTTGACACTCAACCACTGAGCCACGCCGGCTGTCTGGGCAAGGTTAATCTTTTATCCACTATCATTCACAAGTGCCCCTCTTTTATATTCTCTTCTCATCACAAAAAGTTTGCAGAAACTCTTGAGAGTCAGACTTTGTACCAGAATAGGACAAAGGACTTAGCACGAATTTATGAGGCCACCTCTGGGAACAGTGCCTCTGAACACTCAGCAGTTGTGCATTTGGTTAGGAAGACCTGGAAGTCCTTAGCATCAGAGATTCTCCAGCAGTCAGTCCTCAGGGGCCTGTCAGCTGGGTACCTATCAGAGCTCTGTCTGTGGCTGGGAAGGGGAGAAAGGAGAGAGCATAATGATGCTGCAGGAAGGAAGTTACAGACTGGGACTTAAGGCTTTTTGAGTTGAAAAAAACCTTGAAAGTCATGGAGTACAAAGATTAGAACAGGAACCAAGATCGGACAAATGAACAAAAATCAGTTATATACCTGCTCTGTCCCTCAAACTGAAGTGTACCAGGATGCAAAAGTGTTGCATAGGAGCATCATCTCCTTCAAACATTTATGATCTTGAGCCTCCAGTTTCACTATCTACTTCTCTGCCTTACTTATTTAGTGATTTGTTTCTTCCATGCATCCTTAAAAAAATGCGTGCATTCCCTAGTGTTATATTCTTTTTAAAAATATATTTTTATTGATTTCAGAGAAGAAGTGAGAGGGAGAGAGAGTTAGAAACATCAGTGATGAGAGAGAATCATTGATTGGCTGCCTCTTGCACGCACGCCTACTGGGAATCGAGCCCACAGCCTGGACATGTGT